AGGCTGGGGTGGGCTGGCAGGCGGAGGTGGGCAGTAAACAGTCCTATTGTACAAATATATAGCGCGGGCCGGGCGGGGGCGGTCAACCCCGGCTCCCGGGCACGGGGACAGGGCGCGCTGGGCCCGGCTCTGCAACGAGCCGGCGGGAGGGCCTAGCTGTGGCCCAGGCGGTGGTGAGCACGGGCCGGGGGCGTCATAGCCGGGGAGGGCCGGGCGGCGAGCGGGTGGGCAGGGGCGAGTCATCGTCTGCCCCGCCCAGAGGGGATCCCGCGGGGGTGAGGGACGTGGGTGGAGGGACATGGGGAGCTCAGTCGGAGTAGATGATGAAGCCAGAGAACGTGCTGTATTTGTTGCTGTTGCCGCCGTGTGCTTTGCCTCCATCGAGCTTGATGAAGACCTCGTCGCCGGCGTCCAGGTGCAGGATCACGCTGTTGCTGGCGTAGTCATAGTTCTGATCCGCGTCCTGGGCAATAGCACTGGCCCGCACCTGCGGGTAGGGGACACGGGAGGGAGGGCGAGAGAGGAGGGAGGATGAGAAGGGAGGGAGGTGAGGCAGTCCCGGGGAGGATCAGCAGACCCTGAAACCTGGCCTGCAGCCTCACCTCATCCCACCCAGCCCCCTCCCAGGCCCCCTCCCAATCGTACAGAACTTGTTTCAGGAGAGGGGCAGAGACGAGCCCTGGATTTCTAGGGCAGGTCTGATCTGGACCTGAACTGGGAGTCAAGGCAGAGTCTTCCTCCTTCACTCCTATAGGGCTTTCCATCCAGCTGGCCCAGAACCTCAATACCTCCAGGAAGCCGGTCCTTGCAAAGAGGAATTCTCTGGACCTCCAGGGGATGGAGGGCCTTCCCTTCTCTCATCATTCCTTCCTCTCTGCTTTCATAATGATGCCATCGTTTCAGCCACACCCGCTGGATCTTATGTCAATGGATGGACACAAGGGCACACCTTGGCCCCACAGGTCAGGCAGCTGGATCAATGCCAGGCTGCCAGTCAGCAACCACCCTGAACCAGGGCCAGGTCTTTGGTCTGAAATGCAGTCCAGAGTCTCCCCTGCTGCAGCAGTGAGACAGAAGGCCTGGTAATGCTTTCCCCTCCCAGGGCTTAGAAGGAGTATGGGTGCCAGTCTCCATGGAGCTATAGCTATATACCTGTCACTACCCACCCAAAGAGGACTTGTAGCTCCTCCTATCTCACCTCAGGGTGGTAGAAAGGAACTGGGTGGGAAGAAGGGAATCCAGGCCTTACTTCCCTCTGGGATTCTCGGTCTGAAGTGACATCCTTGCTGGTCCCTGCCTTGATGGGGGATGGGGAGGGACAGGCAGGATAATGGGTCAAGGGAGCACCAGCATTTGGGTTTGCAGCCTGCTGTCACTTTTGGAGACTCTGACTATAATCATAAGAGATTGTGTGTGGCTGGGCACGGTGGCTCACGCCTGTAATCCCAGCACTTCGGGAGGCCCAGGTTGGTGGAAAATTTGAGGTCAGGAATTCGAGACCAGACTGGCCAACACGGTGAGACCCCCATCTCTACTAAAAATGCAAAAATTAGCTAGGTGTAGTGGCCCATGCCTGTAATCTTAGTTCCTGGGGAGGCTGAGGCAGAATCACTTAAACCCGAGAGATGGAGGCTGCCGTGAGCCAAGATCACGCCACTGCACTCCAGCCTGGGCGACACAGTGAGACTCAGTCTCAAAAAAAAAAGAGAGAGAGAGATTGTGTGGTGGTGAACAAATGATCTACAGACATTCCTCTAACAGGGATGGAAACATAAGTCCTGAGTTTGAGGATCGGGGCCTCTCCAGTGTATCCTGGGTAGAGACCTGGAAGAGAAGCGCCCTTTCCAGGACTGTGGCTTGTGGTGTGGGGAGGCTGCACTGAGTGGAGTTCTCTCAGTCAGGTTTCTCCACGGCCCCTCTCTATCCTGTCCCTTCATGGAAGGCAGCTCACCATCCCACCCTCCAGGGCTGAAGTCTGGGTAGAACCATGCCAAATTAGGGGAGGGGCCCATCCTCTCTCCTGGACTGGAGGCAGCACTGCAGGTCAGCTGTGCCAGAGCCGCTGACTCAGATGCGATGCTGCAATGAAGAGGACCCGACATATTTGCATGAGGGCCTCCCTTTAAAGCCCATCTCCAACCCCTTCTTCTCCTTCAACCTCTTCTTCCCAACCAGAGAAGAAACTCTTTGTGCACTTAGCTGGGAAAACTGGTCTAGTTAAAGGTGGGAGGGAATAAATGAGAGGGGAGATGCTGTCTGCCAAGGAGCTCAGTTTCTGTGTCTAGAAAATGGATGAGAAGACTTTGCCTCACCACTGCCACCTCTGTAAAAGTCTTTTGATGATGAAGAAAAAAAAACATTTAGATCTTGATGGGGCTTTGAGTTATTAGGGAAGAGCTGAAAGCAAACAGCCAACTTCTGTATTGTTCCCTGAGCCCTAATCCTGGTAGTATTTATTATTACACACGCATTTCATTATCTTTGCTAATAAATTACTACTAATAACAATTATTTTTATTGCCCAGATTAATTTATCCTTAACTTATTAAAACAGTGTGCTCCTTAATAGCCAAATCCATTGGAACAGAGTCATCTGTCATCAGGAATCTCCTGGTGATGTGACTGCATCAGAACTGTTATGCTTATGTTTATTATTTATTCATCACCATGATTGTTGCCGTAATTATCCTAATGGAGGCAGAGAGAATTTATGCCCTTCCCTCCTTAGATGGTGGGGCATCCAGGGTTGGAACCCAGGGGTCCCAATTCTCTGCCTGACTGGAGACAGTTGAGGTCTGCAGCTCCTCCTGGGGTCCAAGGGGAAGTGTGGGTAAACGAGGTTGCCAAGGAAGCAAGAAAGCAGGTTTGGGCCTTGTTATGAGGGAGCACTGCAGAATCAGTTCCTCAAGGGCTGCCAGGAGGGGAAACTGAGGCAATGGTCTGACCAAGGGAACTGGGTGAGAGGGTATCCAGGAAACATGTTCCTGCCCTCAGATCAATGCTGGGGTCTTGGGTGTGCGGATGTGGCTCCCATAGGGGAGCCAGCGTAGCCCATGGGGGACGCTTGCATTTTCACATATTTACTGCATTCCTGCTGTGCCAGGCATTGTGCTCTGTGTTGTGAAAGGTATAGGGGCCAGAGAGGATAGCCAGGGGACCACCTGCCACCACCAGGGGAGAGGCTGATCTCCTTAGGTCTTTTTCCTTTTTGAGACAGAGTCTCGGTCTGTCACCTAGGATGGAGTGCAGAGGTGCAATCTCAGCTCACTGCAGCTTCCGCTTCCCAGGTTCAAGTGATTCTCCTACCTCAGCCTTCCAAGTAGCTGGAATTACAGGCATCCACCACCACACCCAGCCTTTTTTTTTTTCTTTTCTTTTTTTTTGTATTTTTAGTAGAGACAGGGTTTCACCATGTTGGACAGGCTGGTCTCGAACTCCTGACCTCTGGTGATCCGCCCACCTCAGCCTCCCAAAGTGCTGGGATTACAGGAGTAAGCCACCGTGCCCGGCCTTCTTAGGTCTTTATACTGCCACCTTGAATTTATATATGCCAGCACCTCTCGCTGCAGTCAGAGTCTGTTGTCAAACCCCTTGCCCATTGGTGATACTCACCTCCCCACAGCCTGCTACCCTGGATAAGCAGCACCCTGACCACAGGCCCTGGCACATCCTCACAAAGCCCCCTGCCCAGTTTATTAATTTTGTGTCCTCTCCAACCCACCTGAACTGTGGATCTTGGAGGCAGCTGCAGGCAACTCACCACACCCAGGGCCCCACTGCCAACCCAGAATCCTTTCCCCAGGCTCCTCGAATCCTAATGGTCAGGACTTGGTGCCATCAGGGGTGTTGATGCAAGGCTACCCCTAAGGACAGGGGCCAGTGGGCCTCAGATAAGGACAGAGGGAGCCTTAGTGCCAGGCATGAAGGTGGCACTCCCCATCCCGACCTTGCCCAGAGAAGAGGCAGAGCCCAGATTCAGCTCTGCCTCCCTAAAGAAATTCTGGAAGCCTCTCTACAGGCAGGAAGCCAGGAAGAAAAAATGCAGTGCTCAGGATGGCCCCTGGTTCTGAAGTCATGGGAGATACAAGCTTCTCTCTTTTGTTCACATCCATTGCCCGGTCCTGCCATTTTTTTTCTCTGCTTATTTAAATGTCCTCGTCCACCTCTGAGCTGGCTTTCCCCTACACTTGACCTTTTATTTTCTCCCTAGTGGTATCTCCTCACCTTGGGGACCAAGGTTCACCATCTTCTTCCCTGCATCAGGTTGGTCTGCACCAGGGTAGGCCCTACTGAAGCACTCCCTCCCAGCCAACACATTTGGGGACCGAAGTCATCAATTGGGCTCCCAGCCCACCTTTAACACAGTACTCGTTGGGGTGTGTGATTGTACGTTACGAATGTTCCCCCTGCATAGGCCATGAAGTCTTGGAGGGCAAGTGGACTGAACTCCTACAAAGCCTCAAACCTGGCTCCTAGTAGGGGCTCAAAACTAACAAGTGGGATGACTAGTGAGATCAAACGAGTCTCTTGGGCAATTTGGAAGAAGTCATAAAGGACATGGGAGAGGGGGCTATAGGCCCCACTATTTCTCCTGGTTTTCTTTCTTTCTTTTTTTTTTTTTTTTTGGAGACAGTCTCACTCTGTTGCCCAGGCTAGAGTACAGTGGTGAGATCTCACCTCATTGCAACCTCCACCTCCTGGGTTCAAGTGATTCTCTTGCCTCAGCCTCCTGAGTAACTGGGATTACAGGCATGCACAATCACACCCAGCTAATTTTTGTATTTTTAATAGAGATGGTGTTTCGCCGTGTTGGCCAGGCTGATCTCAAACCCCTGACCTCAGCTGATCCACCTGCCTTCGCTTCCCAAAGTGCTGGGATTAGAAACGTGAGCCACTGTGCCCAGCCTCTCCTGGTTTTCTTTTGAGGGGGCTGGTCTGAGTAACTATTAAGTGCTAGGCCTTTGAAACCCCTAAAGTCACCTCCTTTTTTCCTATTAGCCTGTGGTCCCATCTCCAATGAGCACCCCTTCATCAGACTCTGTCAACACCCTGCCCCTGCTGGAGGGAAAAGGAGCTTTTGAGATGGTTTTACCTCCCAGTGACTGACGCAAGTTCCCCACTCTAAGCACACAGCATCTCTGGGGACCTGTGGGGACTTCCTGAGGTGGTGCAGGGTCTAGGGCCAACCTGTGGCCTGATGACTGCCTCCCTATCCAGGCAAGCTGTCAGTCCTCTGAAACCTCAGCTCTGTGTCAGCCCAAACTTCTTTGGGAAAGGAAGACATTCCATTGATGAAGGTGACATTGCTGCATCCCTTATTGGTGATTAATAGGGGGAATCATGGGGCTGTCTGCAGAATGAGCCTTTGCTGGATACTGGGGCCTCCCATTTGGTCAGGAACCAAGGACAAAGAGGAGAGACACAGGGATGTCTGATAGACACACGTGGGAGAGAGAGACATACAAGGAATAGAGAAGAGTGGGGTTAGACCCGGGGAGGAGAGGCCAGAAACCCAGGGAGAGACGGAAAAGGCAGACACAGGAGAGAGATGGATAAGAAACAGAAAAATAGAAGAAAGAGGCAGGGGAGAGGCAGAAACCAGAGAAAAGGTGTTGGGTGGGGGGTAGCAGCCAAGCAGAAGAAAGAGAAGAGGGGCTGACTTACAAGAACCTGGCTGGCTATCTGCTCACTTTCCCTGCTTGCTCCTGTCCCTGCCCCCAAGACTTGCAGACCCGCAGGCTGGCAGAGCTTCAGGGCAGTGCTGCCGTGGGAAGGGTTCCAACAAGGTCTTGCATCTCAATCGTGGGAGATTCCTCCTCAACTTCCACTAGCTCAGTTTTAGTTCTGACCAGCGGTCCCCTTCTTCCAAGAGAATACTCGGCCTGACCACACCCCCAGGCCGCAGGCCACCATGAGTGGGAGCACTGGGAAGGGAGATGGTATCAAGATAGCTGGCTAAAATTGTCACCCCGGGGTGGGGCTGGGTGGAGGTTGGTCCTGGGGTCGGCCATTCCAAGGAGAGCTACAGGCACATGCGAGTCCCGGTACCAGAGTCCCCAACACACTCAGCGTTTTCCAGCTCCAGCGTCTGAGGTGGGGACAGAGAATGGAGAAGATCCCACACACCCCAGAGTCAGGAGGGGCTGGAGCAGGAGACCAAGAGGAGGGGGAGTTTCCATTTCCTCCCCCGCCTCAAGAGGAAAAACTACCCCTCCCCCCCAGGCTGCCTTCTTGTTGGGGCAGCTCTGCTACAGTGGGAAAGAGCTCCCAACTCCCGGATTTTGCAAAGGGTGTCAGATCCGCCCAATGGTCCCTTCTCGAGAGCAGGGGACGCACTGCAGCCAGGGCTCTAAGCACCGGGCTCCCTTTGCCTTTGTGCCCCAAACATTTCCTGCAGCCACCTTTCTCCGCGTGCGCCCATGGCCACGTGCCTAGGCGCCCGCGGGCGCGGATGCTGCTTCTCCCTATTCCATGCGCCAGAGCTCATCCTTGCCCTCCCCTTATCGCCCGCTGGTGTCGGCCCTAATCCACTTCCCAAGGGGCAAGCCCTCAAGGGCAAGTCTGTGCACCTGTGAGCCCTGCGCTCTGACTAGTTGGGTTCGTTTCCCGCATTTCCAGCAGCGTTCCAGACGGTGCCCAGCAGCGTCTGTCTTGGAGCGGGAGCCCAGGAACTGAGGATCGGAGATGTCCGCTGGCTCCGACCATCCCCACACGTGATGCCCAAGCGGGGCAGCTGTAGGGTGGGGTCTCCACCTGTGTCCGCCTGGTGCCCCCGCCAACTCCGATCAGGTACCCATTTGCCCCGGGCTCCCTGGGTGCCCTGCCCCCAGGCCAGCCCCATGCCCCCGCCTGGCCCACCTGGCCATTCTTGCAGAGGTCTGCCCACATACTGGTGCCGTCGCCGCCGCGCATGAGGACATGGTAGGTGAAAAAGTAGGTGCCGGGAATGTTGCACGTAAACTTGCCGCTGGCCGCGTCGTAGTTGTTGCCTAGGTTGGTGACCACGTCGTCAAACTTGAGCACCTCGTAACCCTCGTGGGGGTTCTTGAGGCCGGCGTAGAAGGCCACGCGCGGCACCGTGGTGTAGGTGGCCGTGCTGATGGCGCCGCTGCCTCCCGCGCCCGGCAGACCCGGAGGGCCCGGCTTGCCTGGCTCACCCTTCTCCCCCGGAGGCCCCACAGGGCCAGGAGGACCTGGGTCCCCGGGAGGCCCCGGAGGGCCAGGCTTGCCGGTGCGGCCCGGCTTCCCCTGGGGGCCCTGCACCAGCGTGGAAGGCGGGAGCGCGCCGCTCTGCTCGCTCAGGGCGTCGCCGCCGTCGGGCCGCGCGCCGGCGCCGGGGCCCCGCGCGGGGTAGGGGTCGCACACCATGCGGCAGGTACCCAGCATCTCATAGTGGCCGTCCGGGCCTCCCGAGCTCACCAGCACAGGGATGAGCACCACCAGCACCAGCAGCATCACCACGCCCGCGGCGGCCGCTAGCAGCGTCTTTCGGCCCGCGCGGAGCCTGGGGAGCGCCGGGCCGCCCGGCCGCGCCGTCGGGGCAATGGTGCCGGCGTGCAGGGGGCGCGGGCTAGACGCCCGCGCTCAAGGGCGGTCCGGCGGGGCTGCGGGCATGGGGCCGGGCCCGGGGCGCCGCGCTGCGCTGGCTGCGCTGCGGAGCCCAGCCGCCGACTCCTGCCTCGCGCCTCCCTCCTGCTGCGCTGCTGGACTGAGCGCTGCGGCCGCAGCCTCCCGCCTCCCGCCTCCCGCCTCCCCGCTGGCTCCTCCCGCCTCCTGGCGCCGGGGCCACCGCCCCCTCGGCCGGGCCCCGCCCCGCCGGCTCTGCGCGGCTCTAGGCCCACGAGGGGTGGGGCTGCGGGCGGGGCCGGCGCCTAATTGGGCCGCGGGCGCCTCGAGGTGGGCGGGGCAGAAGGGGGCGGGCCGCGGAGACCACGGGCGGGAGCCGGGAGAGGAAAGGGGACACTGAGTACGCAGAGACCGAGACTCGGAAATGGGATGGGGGCCGGGGTCCGAGAGACCTGAGAGGAGCTCCAAGGAAAGGGGAGAGGAGGGACCAAAGCGAATGGGAGAGAGGGCCACAGGGAGAGCTAGAGAGCGCCGAGGGGATCGGGAGAGGAGAGGCCTCGAGGGTCGGTCACCAGGAAAACAGAGGGACGGGGGTCGCGACGGGCCAAGACCCGTAGGGGGCGGAAGCGAGAGGATAGCGCCCGGGTCTGCAGGGGACAAAGAGAGTGATTGAGGGGAGGACGAAGAGGGGAGCGGGAAGGTAGGATGAGAAAGGGAGTTGTGACGCGAAGAAGAGCTTACAGAGGGGACTATTTGGCACTCAGGCCTCACAGACCACCCGTCTGGGAGATCCGGGGATCGGATGAATGCCTGTCCGAGGGCCCAGCGGAGCCCGAGTCCTGAGGGCGGCCGCCTCCTCCTTTCTGGCTCTGACTGTTCGGGTACCCGCCTCCCCCAGGGGGATCAGGAGCTTCAACCCCCTCCTCACCTCAGCCCCTTCCTCACTGAACTGTGGCCAGGCTGCTTTTTCCTGGGCCCTTTTCTTCCATCTCCCTCTGCTCAATCCCTTTATCCCTGCCTCTGGACCAGGGAGAAAAGGGGATCCTAAAAAGGCGGGCACCCCCACATTATTTCTGCATGCTGACAGATGCAAATACGTCCCTGAGGGGTGACCCCCTTTTCCATCCTCCAGGAGGAGGGGTGGATCTCATCCAGCCCCTCAGCCCCTCCTCCCTCACCCCCAGCCTCCTCTGCCGCCCCCTAACTCTTCTCCCCATCAGGCTGTGGGAGGCTCTCCTCTTCCTCAAGTGCCGCAAAGTGTTTAGGTTGCATAAATCGAAACGTGTCTGCTTCCATCAAAATATTTGTCACATTATCTGAGGCCCAGGTCGGGCTGCTCCACCGCTCCTCCTTCGCCCTCCTTTATCTGGCCCACCGGGGAGGATTCTGCCATTCGGAGGCGACTGGCGGCCGCTAAAGAATGACACCCCAGCCTCTCCTCTCCCAAGAGGCCCCTCCCGGCTCACACTCTCCCTATTGACCCTTCACCATGGCAAAATGATTCCCTGGCCTTCCCTACCCAAGGTTGAGGTCGCTCACCTCATCCAGGGCTGAGTGGAGAAGGACACGGGGACATCCAACGAGGGGGCTGTGAGAGAGGACCCTCCAAGCACTGATGGCTGAGGGGGTTAGAGTGACCCCACCGCCACCAAGGAGGGAGCTAAAAAACTTCAATAAGTAGCATTCATTCAGGGTTTACTCTGTGCTAGACCCTGTGTTGAATGTTTTACATACATGATCACGCTTGATCTTCACATCAATCCAAAGAAGTAAAGTCCAACATTATTTTAATTTTACAGATGGAGAACTGAGGCTCTGGGAAGTTAAGAGATTTGCTCAAAGTCACACAACTAATAAGTGGGAGAGCCGGGATTCAAACTCGTAGCCTGGCTCCAGGCTCTTCCAACCTCAGCGCGATGGAGTCTCTAGGTACTGTTTACCGCCCAAAGCCCAGGGGTAGGGGGCTCAGGGCAGCCAGACCTCCCTGGGCTCGGGAAGAGTAGTCTTCAGCGTTCGGCTGTCAGGCAATCAGGCCCCCCGGTTCCTCACGGCGGTCTCCTCGGTGTACCCCACCAAGAGCGACAGGGCTGGTGACCCGAGGGGCGCGTGCGCGGTCGTCAGCCTGGGATTTGCACGGACCCCCTTCTCCCTAGTACGCTCGCACGCGGGCCCCTCCTCTGCTACGCCGCTGGGGCTCGCCCGCCACCCACAGCACTCGCAGAGTCCTCCGGGCACACCGCGGCTAGCTGCCGGGGGCCAAGGAGTGGGCGTGAGCGCCCACCCACCCCAGCGCCGGCCGGGGCATCCAAGAGGCGCGCTCACAGCCGCACGGCGCCCCGCCTCCCGCTCCGAAAAAGCGCCTGCTCCCCTGACGCGGTGTGGCGTCTCCGTCAGCCCAGCCGGATTCTCCCTGCTTCGCTGGAGTGGAAAATAACGGCTTCAAACTTTGCAGAAAGGAGCTAGTGCCAGCACTTTAATTAACAGCCATCTTGGCCTGTGAGCCGGAGCCACCGGCTCGGCGCCTCCCCTGGGCTCGCCAAGCCCCGCCCCGGCTCCGCCCAGGCCCCCAAAGAAGCACTCCTTAACCCCCTACCCGACCCTCCACCCATCCCCTGCTCTCAGCGCCCCTCTTTCCGGGAGATGAGGGCTTGGCTGATTGGGGAGCAGGTGCTGCCTTGAGGGGCATCTCCTAGTCTAACGCCTGAAGACAGTCACAACCCCTCCATCCGCCATGCTGCCCCCCAACATTCTATGAAGCTGGACTGTTGAAGATTCTGATATTAAAGACCTGCGTGCCAGCTGGGTGCTGCGGCTTACGTCTGTAATCCCAGCACTTTGGGAGCCTGAGGCCCGAGGATCGCTTGAGCTCAGAGTTCCAAACAAGCTTGGGCAACTTAGAGAGATCCTGGCGTGGTGGCGCGTACTGTAGTCCCAGCCACTCAAGAGGCTGAGGCAGGAGGATCGATTGAGCCTGGGAGGTCGAGGCTGCAATAAGCCGAGATCGCGCCATTGCACTCCAGCCTGGGCAACAGAGCAAGACCCTGTCTCATTAACAACAAAACTGAAAAGGCTTGCATGCCCATCCTACCCAGTAATTTTAGGTAAATAGCCTACCCGGCAGTGCCTGACATCCTTTGGAAAAAGGTGGGTTGTGAGGATTAAATGAGATTTTATGCATGTAAAGTCTTGGGCTCAGTATCTGACCCTTATTATGCACCTCGTAAATGGTAGCTAATATAATTATTTCACCTCAAGGCCAAGAAGGCCCTCTCAGGAGACCCCCAGGCCTCAGGTCTCCCTGGTCCTGCCAGCTTCCTACCAATTGCTGTGCTTGGCACTAGGAGAGGGGGACAATGGACCTAGGCTCCCAGGTTCAGAGATGGAACTGGATGAGTGAGGGAAGAACCCTAAAGTTTTGGCTTCCAGGCCTCTTCTTCAAACACCTGCTAAGAACAGGGACTCCGGTTTTCTTTTTTTCCTTTTTTTTTTTTTTTTCTTTTTGAGACTGAGTTGCACTCTTCTTGCCCAGGCTGAAGCCTAATGGCGCCATCTCGGCTCACCACAACCTCCGCCTCCCAGGTTCCAGCGATTTTTCTGCCTTAGCCTCCCAAGTAGCTGGAATTACAGGCACGTACCACCATGCCCAGCAAATTTTTGTATTTTTAGTAGAGACAGGGTTTCACCATGTTGGCCAGGCTGGTCTCAAACTCCTGACCTCAGGTGATCCGCCTGCCTGGGCCTCCCAAAATGCTGGGATTACAGGCGTGAGCCACCATGCCTAGCCCGGGCCAGGACTCAGGTTTTCAGAAGCAGAAAGGGAAGGAGGGTTTTAAGGTAAGGAGGGCGGCCGCACTCTCTGTAGCTGGGATGCTGTCAGCGGGGGGCTGAAGGTCTAGCTTTGCTTCCCCTTCTGTGAGTGTGAGGGGTCACTCCTACAGCCCTCATCTGGAATGACCCTACTGTAGGAACTCCTACAGTAAGGGGGTCGCTCCAATAGCCCCCGTCATTCCAGGCATTGAGGTATATCGTGGAGGGTACAGGGAAGAGCATAGGTAAGACTTTTTACCCTGGCATGGCTGGTGCTGACTTTAGGAACTGGGTGACTGTTCTGTGGTATTTTGGGGTTCTTTGAATGAATGTGAGTGGGTGTGAATGTGTAAGAGGCTGTTGGTGTTGCTGCGTGTCTGGGTTTGGGAGTGAGGAAGCGGGGTGCTGTGCCCTGAATCATCAGCTGCTGGATCTGCATTGAGTTGTTTTTACATTTACTGAAAACAGCTAGCTAGGCCCTGCCAGGGTGAAAACACCTAGCTAGGCGGCTATGCTGTGTCCTTAGATGGGTAGGACTAGAAGGCTGGACGGTGCCCCTGAGGAGTTCACTGTTTGGTGGGGGACACCCGTGCAGAAAGATCGGATACATTGCCAAAATGATTACTGTAGCTAACAGTTTTTGAGCACTTACTAAGTCCAAGATCTTGTTCTTTTTTTTTTTTTTTTTTTTTTTTTTTTTTTTTTTTGAGATGGAGTCTCCCTCTGTTGCCCAGGCTGGAGTGCGGTGAGGCAATCTCAGCTCGCTGCAAGCTCCGCCTCCTGGGTTCACGCCATTCTCCTGCCTCAGCCTCCTGAGTAGCTGGGACTACAGGCGCCCGCCACCACGCTTGGCTAATTTTTTTGTATTTTTAGTAGAGACGGAGTTTCACTGTGTTAGCCAGGATGGTCTCGATCTCCTGACCTCGTGATCCGCCCACCTCGGCCTCCCAAAGTGCTGGAATTATAGGCATGAGCCACTGGGCCCGGCCAAGATCCTGTTCTTAAGCACTTTTGTGGATTATCTCATTTACACTTAACCTATTATCATGGATTTAAAACTATTACATGGCTTATATCATGTACTAGTATTAACCTCATGAGGTACGCACTATCATTTTCCCCATTTTATGGCTGAGGAATCTAAGGCTTGGGTAGAGATTTGTAGGAGGTGTTACGAAGTCCAAATGATGCATAGATGAAGAATGTCCTGCCCAGGCTGGACACAGTGGCTCACTCCTACAATCCTAGCACTTTGGGAGGCCAAAAGGCAGGAGGATGACTTGAGTCCAGGAGTTTGAGACCAGCCTGGGCAACATAGGGAGACCCCCATCTCTACAAAAACCAAAAAATTTGTCGGGCCTGTAGTCCCTCTGAGTTGGGAGGCT